TTTTACATGGTCTAAAAAGCTATCTATTTATATAAAATACAGTATATAAAAAAATATAACTAATATGTCTAATATATCATATATGTCAAATAGGTCCGATATGTCATATATGTCGAATCTATCTGATATATCTTATTTATCGATCATGTCAGATATATCATATATGTCAAACATGTCAGAAATGTTAGATATGTCGGATATGTCAGATTTGTCAAATTTGTCGATCATCTTCGCCACATAGGTCCTATCATATTTTATTCGTTCACATCATCTTTAATCTCATTGATGTGATATATGAGCTATCAACTGGCTCAAGTTTATTTATTTTCATATCAAATGAAGTATTATTAATGATATACTAAAAATAATTCCTTTTAATTCTTCACCTTTTTCAAGAACCTTTCTCGATTAGAGTATGTCTGATATAGGACAGAAGATCAGTTGTATAGGAAACTTCAATAAGACATATATCTTGCTTCTTGTATATATCCCGCTTCTTCTGATCTCGTGATTTTTATTCCTCCAAATCTATATTACCTCTTCTATGAAACATTAAATTAAGAGTATAATATTGCTAACCATGAAATTCAAATGCTAGTTGTAGTTTTTAGTTATACCCATTGAGTTGCATTCTATTTAAAAATAATGGTTTATAGGATAAGAATTTTTTGTTTAGCAGGTCCTCGAAAATATATCATACATTTCTTTCAGTAATATGATGACAAAGAGGCACCACTCGAATTTCTTCATGATGTATTTTAATAGATATTCCCATTGATGTGCACTATTCTCATAAAACCAAAGATATATATTATGTCTATTTATTTCTCTAGTCTTTCCTAGACATTGACCACCACGTCTTTGAGCATAATTAATAGCTTGATTTAACTCACTATTGATAGGAGAAGCATAAACGAAATTTACGGATAATATAATTTGAGTGGATACCCAACCTTTTCTGGATCAAATATTACATGAGTTCTTCTTACACAAACCTGCGAGATAGTGCAAATTCTCCATTCAGATAATATAAAACTAGCTCATTCTTTATTATTACAATTTTCTGGATTTTATGAATAGAAGGTGAGTATATAGGATCAGTGGCCCTCTTTTGATTCTCTATTCCTCCTTCCCATTCTGTAATAGTAAGAAGATATAAAACAGTATCACCTTTCTTTAAGGTTATTTCATCTTTTCCAACTGGACGCTTATATTTTATGGATGGTCTTGATTCCACTTTTATTTCAACAATATTATCTAATTCATCTATTATATTTGTTTCTGTTTTTTCTTTAATTTTTCTTAGAATTTTCATATTCCAATAAAGGTAAACACATTTTTCAACTCTTTAATTTAACATTCTATTTTGTAATTTATTATAAATAAAACCAAATGTTGGCCAATTACACTCACTAATCGCTGAAGTTGCTGGTATTGATAATACTTTAAGAGCAATATTACTTAATAAAGGATATCGTCTTACGACTAATTTTCACTAATTAATTGGTTTTTTAGTTAAATTACCCCATAAATGTTCTTTAGAAAATTCTTCTAACTTTCTTACATATTCAGAATATTCTATTATAATAGCATCACGCTTATTTTCAGGTACCATTAAAATAATTTCTTGTTCTAGAAATCCATCTCACTATGTAGGATTAAGTAATTCACCACGATAATATTGATCAAAATTATAAGTAACTATAACAATAGGATTATAAAGAAAATCATTTCATCATAATTTTTCATAATCACGTGCAAGGATTTAGATAAAATGATTAAAAGAATTGTTCTTTTTTTATTAAATTTTTTTGATAAAATTTGGAAAAATAATGGTAAGATAGAAAAAAAAATGGAAGGAAAAAAAACCAAAAAACAATATTATTACTTTATATCTATTTCTACAAGTTTTCCTTTTAATATTTTACCTCTTAAATATCATTCACCTATACTTTCAAATACAAAAAGATTTTGTGACAAAAAATTTTGCAAAAATAATTTAACAACTGAAGGAAAAGTTTTGATATATAGTGAAAAATGTTTTTAGATATTAGGTTTAAAGTGTGAATATTGTTATAAATACTTAAATAAAATATAGGTAAAAAAGGGGGTTCTGGTGCAAACTTCAAATCTGCTTACGAATCCAGTTTGCTATATGATTTCCAATATCAAATTCAAAGCTCTAGCGTTTTTTGACTCAAATATAGATAATGTTATCAAACTTGGCTAAGAATTAGCCTGTCTGATACCAAGAATTATACTGTTTGATATAACCATTCTAGCCTGATTTTAATTCCAAATAATATA